GTGGGAAGAGGTGCTATTCAGAGAAATGGAAAGCTCTCCCAATTGATACAGCTGGAACCAGAGACTGGGTATAGGAGGTGGGTGGGGCACGGTGTAAGATAAAACTGGATTAGGTGATGATTGCTCTATTTTTAAATGACCTAATTGTTACAAGAACCCTGTATTAGTGAAAATGCTAGGCTACCATACCAAAATATCATAGATTTAAAAAAAAAATAGAAAGTTACTTTCTTGCAGTTCTGGAAGCTGAAAGTCTGAGAGCAGGGTACCAGCATGCTATGGTCCTGTTGAAGGCCTTTTTTATGGCCGCTGAAGCCTGCTTTCTCTGTGTCCTCATGAGGCAGATAAAAAGTAACTGAGGGAAGGAAACAAACCTCTCTCCTTTTATAAAACCAAGGTCTTGTGAGATTAGGACTCCATTTTATGATGCTATTTAACTTTAATTACCTCCTAAAGACATTATCTATAAATATAATCACACTTGAGGTTAGGGCTTCAACACATAAATTTGGGGAGGAAACCATTCTGTCCATAGCAAAGACCTCTAGAAATCACTGATTTTTTATCAGCAAGATGACAGGATCACATTTAACAAGACAACATGAGATGTAGTGTAGAAAATGAACAGAGAAAGTACAAAAGTAGACATGGTCTTAGTTAGAAAGTCTTTGCAACTTTAGAAAGTCTAGCTAAATGCAAATTGAGGCTGCCAGGCATGGTGGGCCACACCTGTAATCCCAGCTACTCAGGAGGCTAAAGGGGAAGATCAAAAGTTTGAGGGCAGCCTGGCTAATTTAGTAAGAATTTGTTTCAAAAAAACAAAAACAAAAAAACTCATAAAAATCCAAAAACCAAAAACAGGCTGTGAATGTACCCTACCTTCCCTGAGTTTAATCCCCAGTAACACCCCTACCCCTTCCCCACAATACAGATTAGTTTACTGCAGTGCTATAGGAAAGCAGAGTAATTTAGCTTTATAGAGAAGGTCTGGAATAATATACAGAAAAAATTGAGCTGATATAGAAGAAAAAAGAATTTTAAAAAGAATAATGGAGCTGACAGCAGTTCACTTGCGATGAGCATGAAGTTCTAAGAGGTACCAGCAATGGTGGTAGGGGTTTCTAGATGGTTTGACTGAAAGAGTGAAGAAACCATTTACAGAGACAATGAAAACTGACAAGGCAGTAAGTGTGGGCTATGGTTCAGGAGCTCTCCATTTGGTACATGGTACATTTGAAATATTTTTGAGACATTAAGTATTAAATACTTTTGAATGATATTTTTGTCAGAGATTAATACCAAATGCTGCCTAAACATCAGTGCCTTAACACAATGAAAATTCTAGTTCTTAAATTGACATGTAGGGGCTGGGGAGATGGCTCAGTGGAATAAGCGCTTCCCTGGCAAGCGCAATGGTCTGAGTTCAATCCCTGGTTCTGAAAAAAAAAAAAAAAATTGACATGTAAAAAAGAGATAAACAATAGCTTAGTGGCCCTAAGAAATCATAGGTGGAAGGATTGGCACTGAGTGGAAGTGTAAACAGCTTCCCTCTGAATGGGAAGCTGCCTAATACGAGGGGCTTTCCCATAGACACCTTGCATTTCACATTTCAAATAATTCAATATATTTCCTCCAAAACATACTCTTGCTGTACTAGTCCGTTTTGTATTACTGCAGTGAAACACCTGAAAACGGGCTTCTTATGAAATAAACAGAAGTTTATTCTGACTTCTGGTTCTCAAGGTTTGAACCCAAGTTTGGGCAGCTCCAGTGGTTTGGGTCTCTGGTAATATTAGCACATCATGAGGAGATACGTCTTGGCACAAACTACTGACATCTACAGCTCGGAGGCAGTCAAAGTAAGGATTTTAACTGCCCACTACTCCGTTCCCCTAAGAGTTCCCTGCAAGGTTCCACACCTTAAAGGTCTCCCA